CACACACACACACACACACACACACATTAATGTGATATCATGTCAGTGATGCCCTTCAACTACCAGAAATGACCAGGCTCTTGCTGTTGTGGATTCCTCATAGGAAGTTGTATTTCCTATGAACATTTTTTATTTTCCAGACATGCTAATGTCTAGATGGGCTTGTGGTAAATCAAACTCTCTCAGATCTACCTTCAGAATAAATCCAGAATTTGCATTTTGGGTCTGTGGGACTAATGAAAACAAATCTTCCCAGTAAATCCTCTCAGATCTACCCTCAAAATAAATCCAGAATAAATGAAACTGATAATTGTTTTTATACATTCTTTCCTGAAGGCATTACCGTCCACACACAGAAACCTTTGCTTAGCCTGGGACGGTCATGCTATCGATGGCATATTGAGTTTCCTGGAGGAATGTAAGCATATTGGAGTAGTAAGTTTCTAGTCTCTTGGTCTTAAATGAGGGAACCCTTGTGAATCTCTCGGCACACAGCCTATCAGGGAGGGCTAGAATTCCTGCAGATTACTACCATATGCTGAAGCATAGGTTAGGAAATGGGTTGAATTGAGAGGGACATTTAGCCTCTGTGCTTACTCTGTGGTGGTACTAACAGCTATACATCGAACACCTGTTGTCAGGTCCTCAACTCAACACCTTTGTATACGTTTCCATATGTTATTAAATCTTCAAGCAACACTTTGAGGTAAGTATTCCTTTCCTCATAATGCAGCTGTGGAAAATTGAGGCCCAGGAAGGTTAAGTCTCTGGACCAAAGTCACACAGCTGGCCGTGGTAGAGCCTGATCAAAATAAGGACTGATTCCAAAGCTTTCCAAATCCTGTTATCCCCGCTGAGGAAAGGAGATCAAATAAATGACCTTTGATTTGAAAGGCAAAAGTTTCTACCTTAATATTTTAAAACATGTCTTATAACAAATAAACATAGTCGACATCAAGGGTTAGGCCTAATGAGAACATCCCGAACTTCAAGGTCGAAAGATGTATTAATTCAACATAGAAACAGAAATATCTCCTCTGTTCCTTTTGATCATCATCAAATGGGCTATTTTCATCTAGTCTCACTTATGTTCCAGAAGCAAATGGTTGAAATGTGCTGATGTCAACTACTTCTTAAAAGGGGCATTGTTAGAGGAACACTGCAAAACATTTGTTGATAAAAAAAACAGGAAAACCTAATAAAGCAACAAAAAAATCCCTTCTGATTTGACTGCTCACCTATAGCTACTGTTATTTTCCTGTTTACCTGTAGTCGTAATCAGACTCTAGACTCGGCTTTGATTCCAGACCTTTTAAAACTTTAGTATTATATAATAAGCATTTTCCCAGCGATTAAATATTCATTGGAAATAAATTTTAGTGCCTCTAAATCAAAGGTTGACAAACTTTGTAACCAGCAGGGTAGTGAATATTTTCAGCTTGGTGGGCCATATTGCCTCTGTCACAACTGTTCGACTCAGCTGTTGGCGGTGTGAAGGCAGCCATGGGCAGTGGGTACGCAAGAGAGAGTGTGGTTGTGTTCCAATAAAACTTTATTTGTAAAAACAGGTGAGGAAGCTGCTTTGGCTCACAGGGCATAGTAACGGCTCTGTAATATCACATACACTCTGTACGTACAGTCTGTCATTCAGAGTGTACATAATTCAGTGAGCTCTTCTACCGTGGGGTGCTTAGGTGATCTGCAGCGCTCTCTCCCACACAGTTGAACAGCAATGGACATGTAGACTCCTGAGCTCATCTCTTTGGTCTACACATAGATCCCACATCACTGTCAAAGTTCCATTTCCTCTTAGCAGTGGGTTATCAAAGGCCAACCACTAAGACCCACTGGGGGCTGGTGGGATTATTCCATTATTAGGAAATACCCCCTGAGAGTGCTTTCCCCACCAGATAGCTGGGATGGACCACATGGGGCCACTCACCTTCCTAGACCCGGGGCTGCGACCTTACAGGATCTGATCCTCTTCTTGGTTATAGAACAGATCATCTTTTAGAATCCCTTCGTGTCATTGCAAAGTATTTTTGGAACGAGTTCAGGAATATGTAATTTTTGTACACAGTCCTAACCAGCCAAGGAGGTAAGTTTATTTCACCGGTGAAGATTTTCTATCTTGTTTTCATCTCACAGGCCGAGAGTAGGGAGTTCATGGAGGCGTGGAAGCAGAGAGCCTGAGAACATCCCCGCCGACAAGAGGAGGGGGGCGAGGGAAGGCTGCGGGGGCCTCCCACGACCTGAAACCTGGCAGTGGACACACGCTGATGGGCTTTTAAATGCTCCTCTGGGCAGACTGGGGATTCCCAAGGCAGTTTGGTTTTGTGCTCTGAGTGACAGGCACTTCCTTCTCATTTATAGTGCAAGAAAGCACCAGTCAGGATAATTAGTTCATGCTTTTAGGATTTAAAGTAACTCCATGTTGAGAAGGAAAAAGCCGACTGTAGGAGAGATTTTTACCCGTGATGTGACTGATCTCTGTCACAGGCCCTCGTCCGCTCAAGATGTGCAGAAATCCCATGGTTTGGCCATGAAGACATTCGACCCATAGCCAGACTGTAGCCAGACGCATCCCGGGTTGGTGCAGCAGCTCCAACGGCCTCGGCATTTCTAGCTTGTTATCTCAGGGTCACCATGTGATGTCAAAGCCGTGACACACTCCGCCACCATGTTCATGACAGAAAAAATGGCCAGGCCTCCTGGCCGTCTCTCTTTCTGTCGTGGAGCAAAGTCTTCCCAGAAGCCCCAGAACACCTGCACCGTAGCAGAGCCCTGAGCCACCTCAGGAGCACTGGGTCAGAGGCCCACACTCAGCTAAGGGGCCCGGGGGACAAGAGGCGGAGGTGACGTCCCTCATGGTCACACCCACAGCCTGAACATGTTCCCTTTGGAACAGAACCGAGGCTGTAAACGAAAGAGGAGGGGACAGTGGCCATGGGGTAGGCGGCTCTCCGTGTCTGGCCCCGCGCTTTGGTGGACATGAACGTTTCTCATGGACTGTGCCCTGCAGCAGGCCTCGTGGCCTAAAGTCTCCGCTTCCCCAGCTGTCGGCTCCGTGGTTCTGGGCAAATTACTGAATGTCTCTGAGCTTTGGTTTGATTTTCTATAAAATGGGGGGGTCTATGCCTTTGGATATCAAATGGAATAGGATTTATATACATGCATCGCCTGTGCCTGGCACTCAGGAAGCCGCCCCAGCCAGTACCACCAGCGAGTTCTCGGACCCGCGGGGACTGGCCTCGAGGTCCTCTGGGGGCAGGCCCCGGCTTTGACGGCTTGGTTCTCTTTGAGAGAAAACTTGCATGTTGGGTCTGTGGGACTAACAAAAACAAAACCCATCCAGACTTGGAGACACTAACTGAAAGGTGTCTTTCCCGCCGTAGGAGGAAGAGGTTTACTGTTGGGTTTGTAACGTAGAGGGAGTGAGCGGCTGTTTATGGCTTCCCCAGTCTGCACAGATGGGTGGGGGGCTACGGCCCATCGCTCTTCACCGAGCTGCAGCTGCGTCGTGGTTGCGGATGTGACAGGCCTCCTAGGTTCAGGGGAAAACTAGACAGTTGTCACCAAGAGCACTACTAAGCCTGCCTGACCGTCCAGATCACTGCCCCTGTCACCTGTGCCGTGGATCAATGACAGCCATCTCAGAAAGTATCTTGGCCAATTCCAAAATTAAGGGTGAAAAATATAGAACCCAACCCACTAGATGAAAAGTAGTTTTTCCTTTTCCCCCACCGCCCCCACCCCGCCCTGACACCCCGAATCCCTGGTCTCCTCCAGGCCAGTGCAGACCGTGAAGTCTGGCCCAGCTGGGTGGCGGCCTGCGCCGAGCAGCCCCAGGGGCCAGCCTGTGGGTGGGCCAGGTCCTTGCCTCATGAGTCTCAGGTGGGCGTCCCAGCCCCACTGCCAGCCTTGGAGATGAGCCAGGGAGGGGACAGGTGGAGACCCCCACCATGATCTGGGGGCCTCAGCTCAACCAGGCTCCCCCATTTTGCAGCGCCATGACCCAGAGAACCCTCCAGACCCCATTTGCTAGTCTATGAAAGGAGAATGATGTCCGCCCTGCCGGCGGGATCCAGTGTGGCCGAGGACTGAGAGCCAGAGAGAGTTTGGTGTTAAAACTGCCAGACCGGCTTGGAAAATGACCCGAGCATCTCTGAGATCCTTCAGTGTCCCTCGTTGTTCCCAACCCCGCCCCGATGCCTACCCACCCCCCACGAAGGCCCTCTCCCCTCCTCCCTGCTGTGCAGACTTTGCACAACCTTGGCCTCTGGTTGACAGGGGCAGAGGCTCCAGGGTCAGTGGCTTCTTGCTTCCTTGTGCTCTGGAACCATCCTGCTAGGCCTTTGGAGAGTATGTCCGCTGCTCTTTTTCTAGTAACATCTCCATGAATCACCCTGGGCCCCCATCTCTGTTTCAGGGCTCCAAAGTCCTGGCCAAGAAGGAGCTGGCCTACGTCCCGATCATTGGCTGGATGTGGTACTTCACGGAGATGGTCTTCTGCACGCGCAAGTGGGAGCAGGACCGCAAGACCGTCTCACAGAGCTTGCTGCACCTCCGGGATTACCCCGAGAAGTATTTTGTACGTCACAGCCCGAGCAGCCACGCCCCCAGCCCTGAAGCACTCCCGCGTGAGCAGCCGGACGGCCCCACGCCCGTCCTGCCGACCTGCCCAGCTGGCCGGCCGCACGGTCCCGTGCTACCCGGTCCGGTTCTTTGAACTAACGGGAGCAGAAACAGTCTTCAGAACACGCTTGTTGCACACGCACTCAGGATGCTCTTGTCACACTCAGAATGCAGATGCTCTTGTCCTGCTCACACACACTGGAGAGGCTCTCACCGCAGACACACTCAGGGTGCTCTTGTCACACTCACACTCAGAGGCTCTTCTCACGCTCACGCACACCCACGCAGGCTCACGCACACCCGCGCTCACTCCTCTACGATCCTCCACGGTCAGCTTTTGTCCCCACAGCTCCTGTAGGAGGAGGCCTGGCCTCCGGGCCCCACCCCGAGGTCGGGGGCGGCCGTAGCTGCGGGGGCCAGGCCTGCTCTGGCCATAAGGGCTCCTGTGGGACCACGTGTGACTGGGGTGGATGATGGAGGACGGAGCGTGACCCAGGGCCGCGGTGGGGACCGAGGGCTGTGCGTGACCTTTGTGCTGTTCCTTCCAGTTCCTGATTCACTGTGAGGGCACTCGGTTCACGGAGAAGAAGCACCAGATCAGCATGCAGGTGGCCCAAGCCAAGGGGCTGCCCAGCCTCAAGTACCACCTGCTGCCTCGCACCAAAGGCTTCGCCATCACCGTGAGGAGTTTGAGAAATGTAGGTAAGGAAGATCCGGGTGTCCCCCGCCCCCTGCAGCGAGGAGCCCCAACCCCAGCACCCCGGGCAGCGCTTCCCCGATGATGGTGGCCGGTAGCTAGGAGGGCAGACGGGGGACAGAGGATGGTTAGCTAGGACCCAGGCTACTGCCTGCTCGTGGCTCTGTCTCTCGCTCACACACTCTCTCACGGACACCGCCCCCCACCCCAAACACGCTGCGCAAACACTGCCCTCTACTGCTCAGCACCGGACCTGCAAGGCTGTGGTGACCTTGGGGAATCCCTGGGTCCCTCTTCACCAGGGCCCACATCTGGGTTCAGCCTGACCCCACACCTCGTTAGCCCAGGGTTTTGGCGTCCTTTTGCTTTGTCTGGCATTTCTTGCCCATCTCTTGGCACCAGCTGCCTCCAGCTGACGAACTCTGTGACCTTACCATCTGTGCTGGCCGACCCCGAGTCACCCTGGGTGAGAGTCAGAAAGCGGGCTCTTCCCTCTGGCCGCACCCGCTTTGCTCCTCGCTCCCCCCAGGCAGCCCGCCCGCCTCCCAGAGACCCGCCCTCCTCCTCTGACCCTGCGAGGTGAGGGCGGCGGGCCTTGGGTTCGAGGCAGCTCCAAGGTCACACGGGTGTCCCTATGTCGTCCCCCACACCCCGGGCCAGGCGCCGCCTTGGCGGGAGTCCCGGGATGGTCAAGCAGCCTCTCTGCGCACGGTCATCTGTCTTCGGGCCCCCAGGTCTCCTCTCCCTCATGTGAGCCAAGGGATCTGAGTGGCGGGCGAGGGGTCTCCTGAGGCGCTGCCCGGCCGGGCGACCGCGTGCAAATCCGCCTCCTCTGGGCGCCCGAGCCAGTGGCCGTGAAGCCGCTGGCTAGCAGGGCAGGTGCACCGAGACACCCCCCACCCCGCCCACGGTCCACACCCCCGCTCCACCCTCCCCGAGCTGACCCGGTTGTCTCCTGCCCAGACATCACCCTGCTAGTCCTCCGCACCCCGCACACCCCTCGCCTCAGCTTGCGGCAATGAGGCCGCTCGCTCCCTCCGCTTGGCCTCCCAGCTGTCTGCGGAGGCCCGGATGCACCCTCTGGATTCACCCCAAAGATAGAACCTGCCCGTCACGGAGCTCCCCGTGGCCCCAGCAACCTGGGCGGAGGTCGCCTGTCGCCTGTCCCTCCTCCAGCCGCTTGCATCCTGCACCGCGCAGCAGGTCAGAGCTGGCTCCCCACTCCGCGGGCTGCAGGACCCTGGGCCCACCACCTCGGACGCTTGTAAGAGCTGCAAGGAGGGTTCGCTGAGGAAACAGGCAGAGGACTCAGCCTGAGGCCTGGCCTGTAACGGTCAGATGTTGGCTGTGGGTCGGAGCCCCACTGAGCCCGCTCGCCTCACCTTCTTACCTTGTTGGGGGTGCCCAGCTACTGGGTCCGGCTTTCCCCGTGGGCTTTGGGCCCTGGCTGAGCTTGGCCTGAGGCCGCAGCAGTCCAGGCAGCGGGGCAGGCTGTGTCCCCCTGCCCCAAAATAAGGACCTGCCCTCCAAGGGCACTCGGATTCGCCCCCAACGCAAGCTCGCCCCATAGGGCCTGGCGAGAGTGTACTGGCCAGATCTAATGAAGGAAACTGTTTATTTCCAGTATACAGACGAGGAAGTTGGGGCTTGGAGAGAATTTAAGGAACTTGTGCCGAGTGGCTCTGCTAGGACACGGAGGCTGGGGCTTGGAGGCTGGGGCTCGGGCTCCCCTCCTTCTCAAGGGCTTTGCGGGCAGGTGGATTTAGTGCTGGGCCGTTTTATCTCCCCTCTTGAGGTTGCCCCTCTGGCAAAGGAGGAAATTGTGCAAATCATTAGCTGCTAGGCGGTCGTCTGGGGTCGTCAAGGGGTCCTTGTGGCTGCCCCCCGACCCGTCCTTGATTGACCAAGTAGGTCCCTTCCATAGTGTACATCAGGCTCCTGTCTAAGAGCCGTTCTGGAGGGAGGAGTTGGAAACTCACTGAACTGCGTCAGCTCCATGTCCCTTTCTTACTCTCAGACCTGTGACCCCACAGCCACCCCGCATACAGCCCAAGTGCCTTTTCCTATAATGCCCACAGAATGTGGTGAACACAGGGGCTGCTCTCCACCAGCCCCTCTCTGTCCATGGAGAGTGACGCCTCCCCCACCGGGAGACAGCCAGCCTCCAGTCCCAGGAGAGGAAGGGGCCGTGGTCTGGCTTGCCAGGGTTTGGGGGCTACCCCCCAGCATTCCTGCGAGCCAGCAAGGGAGACCCCCGCCTCTCCTCAGCTAGGACTAACGAGCTGGCAGTGGGCCTCCTGCAGACCCCACCAGGGGCCAGGCAGCAGGTCGAAGAAAATGGATGGTGGGTTTTTGGCTGATTTTTGAATCTTGGTTCTTCATATCCCCGACTAGACCAAGAGGACCCTGCTGTCACCCTCCCACCCGCTTTATGAATAGTAACCGCACATAGGCAAAGCTCTCCGTAAAGTATCGGGCTCACAATCTGTTATCACGGAGGGCCAGGCCCCGGGGGACATGCAGACTCCTGCCAGATCAGCCGGTGCGCAAGGAAGGCTTCGGGGGTCCCCTTCTCCAGGGGAGCTGGGCTCAGGGCGGCTGAGCGGCACGTCCAAGAGTGGATCCCACAGGCACCAGGCTGACTTCATAACTCGTGCTCTTTCCACTGTCCCGTCCTGTCATCCCATCTCCACGCTATATTTCTGTCCCCTCATGGTCATTCACGCACTCCCACCCTCCACCCACTGAGCGTTTCTGGAGCCCGGGCCAGGCCCCGCGGCCCCGCGGTATACGCCGACGTAACTCGTGCCGACAGGTCAGCTCACCATTGGGCAGAGGCACTGACCTCACATGTTCTTCTTTGCTTCTCAGCTCTGTTTCAGTGGACTCCGGTTCAAGTCCTTAAGATGTCTCCAGCATCTTAGTCTAATTTTGTAGCTATCTTACTTCTCTGGGGGGAGAAATTGCTTATAAAATGCTTATGCCACCATCCACTCAGATACATTCTCAGGTAGTAGGCTCTAGACTGGCCGATCTCATGTCTGACCCTGTGAAAATGTTGGTACTTATTGGAGAATTTCTAGACAGGACACCGCAGTATTGCTTTAAGCTGTTCCGACCTCAGTAATAACTCTTTTCTCAGTTACTGAGTTATAGTGTTTCTCTGGTTACAAAAGGTGATGTGTGTTCAATGTAGGGCATTTGGACAGTATAGAAAAGCATGAAAAAGGACAGAACCCCGTCATCCCACCACCCTGAGATAACCAGTTAGCAAATCTCATTACTGTTTTCCAATGTGTATCTGCGAAACAAAATTGGGTTCACATGCTATATACTGCTTTGTATTTGTTTTATTTTTTTTTATAGTTTCAGCTGTATATGACTGTACACTCAATTTCAGAAATAATGAAAATCCAACACTGTTGGGAGTCCTAAATGGGAAGAAATATCACGCCGATTTATATGTCAGGTAAGTTGGTTCCATTTCCTTTCCAAAACAGAGAGAGCCCATCAAAGTAATTAAATCACAAACGGTCTACAGACCTCTTTCCAGCCTGTAATCTGTCATGAAGTGAACTTTACAGACTGTATTTATATTAGGAACTCAAGACACACAGCGCTCATGTCAGTAATCGGGGAAGCCTCTAATTTCTGATTCTCTCGGACCAATTCATACTTATCATAGAGCTCAGGTTGGACAGACAGAAGACAGCATTTTATAGTCATTTTGAGACTGAGTATGAAGAGATTATTATACTGACCCCTCTTCTTGGAGGATGTGTCTGCGATATACGGGTATACACAGACAAGAACATGTATAATTTATAGGGAGGTCTAGGAACAAATGGAGAGCGTTTCAGCGGTATCTTACTTCTGTGTTATATCTCAAGCTATTATTGAAAAGACACACCCGTTCTCTTGGCCCATCGCATCAGCTTACAGAACGGGTCTCACCCTGGGCTTCGGCAATGCCATCGAGATGAGTGGGAAACGATTAGAAGATGCTGCCATCCGCCAAACGCAGCGGGGACTCGAGCATAAAACCCAGCGCGACGGGGCTGAGGGACGGTACTGGTTTCCTGTGCACTAGGTTGTCTTCCCAGAAGGCTAACAAAGATGATCTGACATGGCTGCTCTTGGGGAACCAGCCAAGTGTTCTAGAACATTCTGATTACTTTTTCAAAAGGCTTCACAGATACTAAAGTACAACACAGGACGATGTAAATTCGGGGGCTGATCGTCACCACGGGGCTGCAGGAAAGGCTCAGCCCTTCCCGGAGAGATGTTTCGGCGGACTGACAGCCTGAATTAAACAGCTTTCTAGCCAGAGAGGACTCCGGGTCCCCCTTTCGAATTATCCCTGTTTCCTAAAGCTGCAGTCGACAGTCTGTCTGACTCTGCAGTTGAAGGCACGTGAGGGCGGGAAAACCAGCCTTCCCGAGGGAGGCCTTCTCCCAGAGGTAGAGGAGGCTTTGCCCCCTGAGCACTTAGACACCCGGCAGGAGCTCTAGTCAGTGGCCAGCTAGGCCCCAGGTATTTGGGGGAAGCCTGGAGCGTGGGAGATTATCACACGAGGTGGGGCCACCTCTCTGGTAACTTCTTCCCCGGAGCACACACAGGAATGGGGCGTGAAGAGCCAAAACCACACCACGGGGGCCACGGAAGCCGGTGCCCTCACAGCCCGGAGGGAGGACTGTGCGGCTCCCCATGCTTCTCCTCGCAGTGCAGGTTCCCCTGAAAAGCACTACAGGCTTTCTCGTGCTTTGCCTCAGTGCAAAGCATTAAAACAGGAAGGGCAGGAATGTCAAGGAAGTTCTTGAAAAGAGCAAAAGTGCCATAAAAAGCCACCATCCAAATAAAGGGTAGGCAGGCTCCCTATCCTTTTTCAAGAAACGCAGTTAGAGATCTGGTTTCCCCAGTGAGCCAAAAAGAGCGAAGGGGTTGGGCGTTTGTGGGAGGACCTGTGGGAGTTGACGGGGTAATATTTCATCCTATGAAAACTTAGCCCCGTACGATACCGCGTCTGTTATAAGATGGAATCCCACATTCCCTCCACAGGCCATGGTGTGATGGATAGGTTCTAGAAATGGACCTTGTTGCTAAGGTAGTCCCGAGCCAGAGACGGGCATGAAGCCGGCCCTGGCAGTCACGGGGGACACAGGATTTCCTGCGCACAGCATCAGGGTGAATAAAAAGGCCTAGAGCTCATGAAAGCCAGCACCCCGCGGGCAGACACACAGAACTAGATCTGCAACAGGGGACCAGGAAATGTGGTCCAGTGACTCCCCCTTGCCCCCAGCCCCAGAGCCACCCTCACACTCCCCCTCTGGTGAGCAGAAAGCAAAGGTGAGCAAAGGGGCAGGCTGACCCTTCAGGGACCTGCACTGCACCTGGGTCCGGAGCTCCCCACCATGGGTATGGATTTCCCCGTCTGCCGCCTGAATTGCCCCCCGCCCCCCGAATTGCCCCCCGCCCCCCCACGTGACCTAGGCTCCTGAAACAGAGCCCAGAGACGTCAAGTATTTTTTTTTTAAGATTTTATTTATTTATTTGACAGATCACAAGTAGGCAGAGAGGCAGGCAGAGAGAGAGGAGGAAGCAGGCTCCCCACGGAGCAGAGAACCCTATGTGGGGCTCGATCCCAGGACCCTGGGATCATGACCTGAGCCGAAGGCAGAGGCTTAACCCACTGAGCCCCTCAGGTGCCCCCCAAGTATTGTTATTTTGAAGCCATGGTTGGGGCGCTTGGCACCAGTCTCCTCCCTGCTAGCTGTTCTCTGCTTTGCAGGCGGATCCCTCTAGAAGAAGTCCCAGAAGACGAGGATGAGTGTTCAGCCTGGCTCCACAAGCTCTACCAGGAGAAGGTCAGTGCAGCGAGGTTGTGGGGGGTGGCTCTGCGGGATCCAAGCACCTGTTTCGAGGTGGGTGCACCATGCGGGCCTCTGGGAGCTGGTAGTGGCGACGAGCCTTTCTCCATCCGTGTGAGACCCCACACTCTGGTTAGTTACCGCCCTGGGGTTGACACTCCGCTTGGCAAGGGGGGAAATGAATAGAGCAAAATGGGTTTAAGGGGGCTTCACGGCAAGAAAGGAGGGTGTAGTGGACAGAAAAGGAAGTGAGGCCCCCCAGCAGCCCGTGTCTACTTAGGAAAAGTAGCCTCTGGTTCTTGGAGTCTGGAGGGTTCTTTTCAGGAAACGTGTATGATCCCGATGGCTGCCAGGCCTACAAGGTGGCTGTCTGTAGGGTCTCAAACCCCACCCCCCCATCGCAGGCAAGACGGAGGGTCTCAAAACCACCCACACAGGCAAGACGGAGGCTTGCAAGACTCCGCCTCGGCTGGGGTCAGTCCCCACCCCACCTTCTTTCTTTCCTCTGAGCAGGGCCTACCTCCCCTGGCTCCACTCCTCAGTGGCACGGGCAGGGGCAGGGGCAGAGGGGGTCGCATGCTTACGGCCCTCACTGCTTCGTCTCAGGAAGGAGAAAAGGTCAGCGTCCAGCTAGTGAGGAAGGCGTTTTTATGACCACGTCTTGCTGCCCACAGAGACTTATTTCTGATTCATCCTATGTTTTGAGGCCAAACCGGCCTCAAATCGAGCACGTTGAGCGGGATGCGGATTTCCTGTTGATGAATTCCATCGGTACGGACGGGGGGGGGTCTGCCTCTCCCCAATCCCCTAGAGGAGATGGTCACTAGAGCTCTACGGGCGTCTGCTCCAGTCGGACAAGCATTTTAATCCTTCCTTTGAGAGAACGTGTCTTGGCACCAGAGGCTTCCAGATGACCCCCATCGGACGAAGTAGAGACTTCTCACAAATGTGCTCGGTTTGGGGGATCAAGATCCTGACATTCTCGCAGCAGGAGGTGGCTCCCGTGCTCCCGAGGAGGTGATTTTCCGACGGTTCCTGTAAAAGCCCATTCGAATAACTGGCCATTTGGGGGCGTTTTCTGGACGGGTTGCAGGGACAGGCATCCAGTCTCCTCTTCCGAGTACACGGGGACCGGCCCGTCTGTCACCGAGGGGGGACCATGCAGGTCCCTCAGCCTCACAGGTTCACCCCATAGGTCTGAGCGGCCTAGAAATGCGTATTCCTAGGAGGCCGCCTCTGACCCGTGGCCTGCAGGCTTGGAAACGCACAGCGGCTGCTTTTAAACCAGGTTCCCAGTTAGGAAGCTTCTGTGCTGCCGCAGGCCTGGGCCTCGTGGAAACACGCAAGGGATATGTATTTTCTTCTGGTTTCACGCACGAGGCGGCATTTTCCCTTGTGCTGTTCTCTGGTTTAATCGTCTGGGCGGCATACGACACGTCGCACTATTAGCAAGCAGAAAATTGCACTAAGGCCTCAGGAAGGAAAGCCTGCGTAAAGAAGCACATGAACAAATCTGACAAACGCGGGCCTCAGACCCACCAAAGCAAAGCAAAGCAGGTTTTTCTCCGTGGGCCAGTTCTCTGCTGGGTTCAGGCAGGAGAGTGTGACCGTCGTGTGACCTGAACCACTCGCGCGTTCAGCAAAGAGGCACTTCTCCTTCCTGATAAAGTCTCTCCAGAAGTTTCCCTCTAAACTACGTACGCACTAAAATGCTGGCTTCAGTTTGGAAGGGCTTCCCGAAACGACCATCTGGGGCAGAGCCCTTATGCTAGTGAGAGGGAAACTGAGGCCCAGAGAATGACGTGGTTTGCCCAGCTTGCAGCTAAAGCCAGGTGCCGGAGGACAGGCCCTGTCTCGCTTCTGAGGGCTGTGTCTGTGAGCAACCTGGGAGGCTGGCCTTTTCCCCGGAGGGACCACCCCTGAGCAGTTCCCGGGAAGGGGCAGCGGTGCCTCCAAGAGGAACTATGGACAGACGGGAAGAAACTCCAGCATCCTGGGGCAGCCCTCTCCCCTCAGGAGCCTCGATGGGCCTGGGGCTTTACGTACCGGAAATCCTGGGGCCCCATCACGCTTGCCAAAGTAGAGTTCTGTGTTGGGCGTCATCTTTCAGACGCATGGCATGGGAAGACACTTCTGCTGACGTCGAGCTGGGGACTTCAAGGCACCGATTCTCCGGTGTTGCTTTCATGGACAACTGTCAGCAAAATGCAGGAGGGGTGCTGGGCGCCCCAACAGGGACATAGCAACGTTTCATTCTGTTCAGGCAGGGACATACAAAGAGATCCACTATCGACCACGGCCATTTTGAGTGTCTCAAATAGGAAGGGCATCAGCTCCGACAACCGGGCCAACCTTGTAGAACAAACATAGCGTCTGGAAAAGACACAACGTTGATGACTTGTCAGCACCCGGGACGGCTGCTGGCTGTCAGTGTGGGAAGCCATCCATGTCCTCGTGTGATCCCTTGGGGACAACGGCGGTGCCCCCGTCACTTTTTCCCAGAACCATCACGGTTACCCCATCACGTGGTTTGAACGAAGTCTGAATTTCATCCCTGATTCAAGTTACGTACTTACCCTCTGGCGGGCAGTCTGAAGTCTGCCGAAGGGATGGGGAATTCGCCATTAATGGTACCCACGGAAAACCTGGTGAAGGAAGCAGTGGCCGAGCTGTCTTGTGGGTGTGTGGGGCCCACGGGGGCCACGGTTGGGCGCTGCTCTGTGTGGGAATTCTTCAAGCACAAGAACGAAGTGTTTTCCAAGCTCGCAATGGCTTTCGCACAATACCAAGGACATTTCCTTCTCAGCACTCCAGAGGCCAGGCAATCAGGGGCCTGAAGGGGGGCCCCCACCAGGGCTGCTGTGGTGGACGGGGCAAGGGGGCTCCCTGAGGTCCCTGTGACAAGGGGACGATCCCCAATAATGAGGGCTCCGTCCTCGCGAGAGGCCCTGCCCCCGAGCCCAGCCCACGGCAGATTAGGCTTCCACATGGAGAATCCGGGAGTCCAAAGCGGCCCTGTCACCGAGTTACCGGGCTCCTGTGGCCCCAGCCTGGCATGAGAAAAATCACCCCGGTTCATGGCAAGGAGGTAAAAACGCGAGGCCTCGACAGAGTTAGGGCCCTCGCTCTGGGCCTCAGACAAGTCACTGTCGCTTCCCCTGAGGTCTGCTTCGGCCACAGGCTCTGGGACTCATTTTAATAATGACCCTCAGTGGAGAAAAAAGTGTCTTTCTCAGCACCTGCTGACTGGGGAAAGGAGAAGTATGGTGCATTTTCGAGATCGCTCTCAGGCTGTTAAAGGGAGTTCGGCACCTCGGGTGTAAGTTCCAGATAGACGGAAGCTCCTTTTCCAGGAAACTCAACTCTGGGGACAGCTGGGACATCAGCAGGCTCCGACGGGGGCCCGCGTGACCCAGAGACGGGTCTTGCTCTGCACACACGCCGCCAGCCCCCAGGATGCTGTGAGGATATTTCAGTCCGTTGCCTTATTTAGAAGCGGGCAGACTCCCCGTGGCTGCCAGTTGCTGGCCCTCGTGTCCACACGGTACCCAGGGACGGGTCCCTCTGCCCCCATTGCCTGCCGCCTGGCCCCGCAGTGTCCCTCTTTCCCAGGGTCGCCAAGCAGCGCCTGGGTTCTCCCGAGAGCAGCTGGATGGCGCTCACTACATAGGCCCGGCCTTGGGGGTCCCTGGTGCACCCCGTGCCCGCCCGAGACCCCCGCAGGCTCATTGGTCACACACACACACACACACACACACTTGGGGACCAGTGGTCCCCTCATCCATGGGCTGTTAGCTGCGGCCATGGACGGTCCAGCTGTCAGGTCACGGGCAGCCTCGGGGCGCCAAGACCCCACCCCTCACTCCCCCATCGCGTCGCCGGGAAGGGGGCCACGTTCACACGCCCTCGGTCACAGTATTTTGTTAGCTCCGCCGTGTCCGTGCTTGGCTCTTTCTGCACCTCATCGAGGAATGAAACCTCGCACGTGGTCATCACAGGCGCGGGCGTCCCCGGAGCCCACCACCAAGGGGGCTCCTGTATTCCGCCTCAGGTCGGGCACCAGAGGAGACAGGACGGGGGTCTCGGCAGTACTACACAGAGCCGCTGGGCAGGCCGTGCCGTCGTGGCTTAGGTGCAAGAGGTGAGCCCGTGGCTCTGCCCGAGGCTCCGGGTTCTAGCGTGTTCTGGGCGTTCAGCAAAGCCAGGCTCCGTGTCTCCGTTCTCCACCGGCCGTTGCGGGCGCGGGCAGTTCTGCATCTGGGCGACCAGAGCTGGGCCTCAGAGGCCGGCCACCCGGCCGGAGGCAGGTGAGCACCGAGGAGCAGACCAGGATGGAACTGGGCTGGCCTGGCACCGAAGCTCAAGCTGCCACGCCTGGGCTAGTGACCGGGCCGTGTCACTGTGGGGAGGGGACAGCCAAGTTCGGTATTGGGAAGGCACATCAGGCGCCTGTGATGGAGCCCCCGGTTCTGCTCAGCTCACGTTGCCTCCCCCCGCCCCGGTGCCTCGGGAAGGGCCTGCACAAACACGGGGTCATGCATGAGCAAAGTGCCTCAGGGTCGCCTCTCTGTCCGCAGGATGCCTTCCAGGAGGAGTACCACAGGACGGGCACCTTCCCGGAGACAGCCATGGTGCCCCCCCGGCGGCCCTGGACGCTCCTCAACTGGTTGTTCTGGGCCTCCCTCCTGCTCTACCCTTTCTTCCGGTTCCTCGTCAACATGGTCAGCAGCGGGTCCTCCCTCACCCTGGCCAGCTTCGTCCTCGTCTTCTTTGTGGGTGAGTAGAGAGCAGGAGGCCCGCGCCAGCCATGCTGCCGGGAGGAGCATCTGATGGGGGGACAGCTGGAGGCAGAACCGGGGGTAAACTCACCCTAGCCGTCGCAGCCCTCGGAACCCAAGGCACAGCCTGCAGACGCACCGGGAAAACTAGCCTGCAGGCCTCACGGTCAAACACACCCAGAGGCCCTCCCCGAACGCGAGCTCTGCGGACAGTGCCGCTCACGGTCCTCATCCCTTCCTCCTCCCCAGGAAAACCTTCCTGGAGCCCAGCAGCAACGGGCAAAGGCCCCTGGCCATTCAGAGCAGGTCCCAGCCCCTCTGGGGAAGAGCGTGTGCTTCTAGAAGTTGGCTGCCACACGCAACATTGAACAGAGCGGCCTGGGAGCACTTTTGCATGAACCCATACTGGCTTCATTGGCCAGGGGGCTGCAGACTCCTCTGATTTCTTCATAGCCCCAGGGTTCCCTGCACACTGTCGCTGGTCTTTGAGGTGCGGCAGCCAGAGGCAAACTTGGCAGGACCCCCTGGGAGAGGCAGCCCATTTCACTGCCAGCCCTGCTGGCATCTCAGTCATTTATGCGTTCTGAAATGTGTGATACGTGCTTGGTGCCGGGCTCCTCAGGGGGCTCGGACGTGCTCCCTGCCCTGAAGGAGCTCACCAAGTCTGCCATCTCTGACTGCAGTGTGTGACCGCGGCCCTGCTGTCCAGCTTCCTGGTGGCTCCGCTGGGCATTCATGAGGGTCTTTCGTGCTTTCTGTTTGGGCTGATCCCACCTGAAGGCAGGGGCTTTTCCCCGTTCACTGCTCTGATTCTTATCCCGAGAGCAGAGCCGGGCACTAAGGAGACGCCCGGGCTCTTGCGCTCTCCATGCTCCTGGTCGGTCACTCAGCTTCGCTGCCGGGTGTTTTGTAAGTTCCTGCCCTGTGCTGGCAAAAGAATCCTCTTTGTCTTGGAGGCCAGCGTGGCAGAGGAATTCGGTAAGCTTCGGTGGAGGCTTAGTGTCCTTGATGCGCAGAGGGATTAACCCACCCCCAGAACAGCCGCACTGTTTTAATGTCACTTAGTCCGGCACCCGTGCTCCAGGAGAACTACAGTGGGATCATGCAGGGGCCCCAAATTAGCCGGCAAGATCTCGGCTGCTGCTTGGGGTCTGCAGACAGCTGGCATCTCAGCATTCTTCCCGCAGATCACTCTGGGGTCCCCCGTGGGCTCCTCCTAACGCCTGTGCTTCCCATTTCTTCCCATTTCTGCAGCTTCTATGGGAGTTCGATGGATGATTGGTGTGACCGAAATCGACAAGGGCTCTGCCTACGGCAACATCGACAGCAAGCAGAAACGGAGCGACTGACCCCAGACACATTAGCGCCCAGAGGGGCCCTTGGGGACTGGTGGACGCTGCCAGCCATCCTTAGTGGGACCCGGGGACGAAGCGGAGTGAGCCCCTGCTGGGAAGGCAGGGCGTTTTGTCTCGATGCCAGATGGGGAGGAAGATGTTCTTAAATCTTTTGTCCCCCCATAATGCTTTAGTGGGTTTTGATTTTCTTTTCGTGTGAGCATGTGTGTGTGTGTTTGTGTGACTGTATGCGAGTGAGTGTAAGGGAGAAGATACATCTAAGTGAGAATGGTGTGCGGCTGAGTGTGAGCCTTATTCTATCATCATTCAGAGGGGATCTGAGGCACAGGGGGAGGGCAGGGACGGGGAACGGAGGGTTCCCCTTCATTCTTCGGTGCTGAGTTTTCTGTACTGGATTGCAAAAGAGTGAAAGGCGCTTTAGGTAAGATGACTAAATTATGCCTCCAAAAAACCATTAAAGTGTTTGGCTCCCTGTGCTATGTGTTTCCACAGACTGCTCCGCGCCCACACTCCACCCTCTGCCGTGGTTCTGGGGTTCCAGACGGCAATGACCCAACAGCACTGCCTGGGGGGTAGTGGGATGGACTCAGCACGCAGGGGCAGCTGGAGGGGGCCCTCCTGGCCGCTGACACAGGTGCAGGCACCGGGCGGGGAGGTGGTTGAAGGGGACGGCAGGTGCTGGGGGACGAGCTGAGCACATCTGGGGAACACAGTGAGAGGCCGTAAGGCAGCCTTGGGTTTTCCGATCTGCCTGCAACGGGGTCTACCCGGCCCGCGTCTTGAGGAGGTGGCCGATTCTGAAGAAGCTGAGCGGAAAAACAGAGCAGGGGCCTCTGGCAGCCGTTACAGAAATGACCTCACGTGCGCAGCTCATCTCAGTCAGCAGGCAGAGACCAGTCCAGGAGCACTTTTTGCGAACACCGTGCAGGAGCCAAGGGTCGGCTGCAGCAAACACCGGGGTACGCGGCTCCCCTGGGCGTCTGCTTTTCTTCCGGAAGCCCAGACTCTCACACCACGAGGGAGGGCTGCCCCTTGACACGCCAGGCGTTCTCTGGAGTCACAGCCACACGCACGACCTCCGTGAAGTGCTGCCAGTCCTCAGGTCACGTGCACAACGTGCGAGACCCGCAGTGACGTCTCCGGCGAAGAGCATTTAGCCATGGGACACTCCGTCCTCCCAGGCCACGCGCTGATGGTGCTCACAAAGGTGGGGATTTCGGAGCACGAGGTAAGCAGAAGGCTCTCCCCCGTGCACAGCCGCACGCGGCTGGCACAGAGCTCTTGCTTGCTGTGCAGATAGAAGAAGGGAGAGACGGTTCCACCCAAAAGGTGGGCATAAGCTATTCCGAATCCTGTTTTTCACGGTTTACTCCTTTACTCACCAAGTGTTTACCAAGCACAATGGAACTAGGTGAGCCAAGGAGAGCGCCCAAGAGAAGCACCCTCGTTGTCAGGAACTGCAGAAACGGAGAGAGAAATGGATTCTGGCTGAGATTCTCCCTTCGGAAGGGAGTTCCGGTGAGGCCAGAGCCCGAGCTGACATTTGCAAGCCCCCTCGAGAGCAGAGCTGATGAGCCCCCGCATTTGCTCACCCTGCGTCAGGCCGTGGGCGCAGCTCAGGCGTCTGTATTCATGTCCCCGTGTGCCCACCTGCACCCGGAGGTGGGGGCCGCTCTACGCGGGGACTCCTCGTACCACAGCAGAGCTGAGTAAGGCGGTCAGGGGTCAGTCCTGCATGCAGCTGTGCGGGCCCCCCTCCTGGCACTCGACCTTGGGTGAGCCATCCCACCTCGAGTCCCAGTTTCCCCATTTGCAAAGTGAGGGTGACCATACCTGCCTCCTGGGTTGTTTCAAGGGTAAAAACGAGGCCATATATGTGAACACACGTTAAGAATCCGAAAGCACTAAACACAGAAGGAAGGAGACATTAGAAAGCTGCCTCCGTGTTGCTACTTTGCAAAATGCTCAGAAACGACCCTGAGGTGTCCAAGAACATGTCCTTCTTCTGTTCTCGCCCCATGAATAGAGTGATTGAGTGCTAGTAACATATACCGCCTTCGCCCTACAACAGAACACGTGAGCAGAGGCAGGCCGCTGACCAGCGCTGTGGGGCCGGGGCCGAGGAAGGCAGGCAAAATACTGCCCTGGGAAAGAACTCCTCTGCACTCCTTTTCACCCGGGCCTCGGGTAGCAGGAGAATGTGGTAGTCTGGGGACAGATCAGTCATCTTCTCAGCTACTTGGCCTTCCCACGAAGAAGCCTTTTGTTAGGAGTCACAGGGAGCTGGCTTTCCTTCTGCCCTGCTGCAGAGATGAGCATGGCGCCCCAGAAAGGCCCAACCCTGGATCCCCGAACGTGGGCACAGGTCTCACAGAGTTAAAACCCCACGGAGGTTAAGCCACCTGTAGTGAGTGCTAGTCCCTAGCGGTCCATCATGGATGGAGAGCTCTGTGTCCTCACACTGTCATCTCATGGTAGCTTGGGGCAGCCCTGCTCAGAGCCCGCTCTGAGCTCCAACGTAGCCGGGAAAAGTAGTTTTCCTGCACTCTGGACAGCGATGGCCACTCTCCAGACTTCCCTGCAGCTTCGATACAGGGAGTCTGAGGCACTTCCAGGAAACCAAGCCCCCAGCGTGACCTTCTTTACTAAAATCACCAGGCATCCAAAATGCAGCTGGCAGCTGGGGAAGCAGACCGATTCGGTGACTGCTGAGCGAGGAGTGACCGCGGAGGACGAACTAACGCGCTCTGTCAGCTGGTCTCACCTGTTGCCCACTTTTTTCCTGAGAGAACACCACCTTCCTCCTATGATCACACAGTAGGACTGCAGTTCTCTCTCGACCGCTTTGTTCTCTAAATAAACGCATGCAAAACTCTGTACAAGTAGCCGCTGGCGTTTAAAAATTAAACACATCCATCTTTTCCTAATAGACCTGTAAGTGGACCTGAACAACAGTGATTCAGATGTAAAATCCAACCATAATCAGCCGGGAAGGGTGACGAAGGAAGGGATGGCCTGCCCGTCACCAGAAGGGACCCTGTCAGCTTCTGGGTCCCCTCCTGGTGGAGCCAAACCGTGGTCCGGCTGGCCCCCGTGCAGGACAGACTGGGCTTGACAGAGGCTTTATAACCTACTCGTAAACACCGACCAACGTGAAAATTCTGCAGGGCACCTGTTCTCTGCTCAACAAGGCTACATCCAGCTTGCCCCAGAGCACTGGGCAGACCGTCCATGTATTTGCTGGGCTCCAGTGTGAAGAACAAATAGCCCAGGGCCCGCCGGTTTCCCAAGCCAGCACGGACGGAGTATTGGTGCCGCGTGAGCGTAGCTTGTGCTGGAAAGACCGCGGGGCCTGGGACCGTGTCTGCGGCCCATGTCTGCGGCCGGCTGTGGCAGGCTGGCCAAGGTGAGTCTCGGTTCACGGGCCGCGGGCCCGCAGGCCGCCCCGTTAGGCGGCCGAGCTTCCCCCTTCAGCAAGCGTGTCTCGGCCTTCGCCGAACCAGGGCTCACACTCTGCTCGTGGAGAATGACGTGAGGCGTCCAGTGCGACGCTGACAGGTGCTGCCCACGTCCCACGGCGCAGCGCCAGCGGGTTGACAGCCCCACTCTCGTTCTAATAAACGCTCTTCCCCTGAATGACACGGTTCGAAAGTCTCCAGCCGGAATGAGGCACGGGGGCTGCCTCGGCGGGGAAAGGGCGCCCAGGTTTGGCGGCGAGAGCTGGCTCTTCCCCGTGGGCTCAGCGCCGTGACACGAGGCCGTCCTTCCTCCCCGCCTGTGCGAGGTGGTCGGTAGCTGCTGCCTTTGTGAAATGGGGAGACAGGTCAGTGGCTCTTCAGACAAGTGAGTCCGCCTTGACACAATGGCCTGCGGAGCAGCCCCTGCCCCCGGGGTCAAGACTCACGGTCGTGTACGGCCTTTGCCAGGGAGTCCCTCGGGAACGCCGGCCACGGAAGCTCCCTCATGTGCGGACTCTTTCCCAGCCGCAGAGATACCCAACATACCCAGCTGGCTGTGTCGGAGTCAGGTGATTTCCTAAAACTGTCTTCAGAGATTTCATCAGAAAACGTTTTTAAAACAAATTTTTTTTTTTTTTGGCCAGGATGAATGAGGCTCAACTCACTTCCCTGATCAACATGGTAGACCCAAGGGCAAGCCCCTGTTCAGGGCCAACCCCTCTGTCCTCTGAGAGGCGCCCGGGGGAAGGCTGGGTCGGCCCCGAGCCTGACCTGTCACCCGGGCACGAACGAGTATCCCTATCTCTAACGCGCTCCCGCAGCCCTGCCTCCAGAGTTCCCATGAACGTACACGAAAACAATCCCTTCCGATGTGCCAGGCTCACAGTCCTCACATAGAGGCGCTGCGGACTCAAGGGGATGGGGGAGGCCCAAGCACTTATTCCATTTCCCTCGACCCATGACATGCTAAACCACTTGCAGCCGTTGTCTCCGACAGGTACTGCATCGGCGAAGAGTATCAGAAACTTCTCCTCCGTGGTCAGCGTGTGTCTCCTCCTCTGACTGGCGTGGCCACAGGGCAGGGCTGGGCACCGGGCACTGGGGGAGGCTGGCGGGGGGAACCGAGCACCGACTCGGGCGCTTCAATAACTGGGCTGCCCCTGTCTTCTCTTGATGCCCTTTCCTAAAGTACAAATAAGACCTTTTCTTAAGTGCAATGAAGCACTGAACATTGGCAGCTGGTCAGAACGCTGTACATGGTCAGTACGTCCAAGTTCCAGAGTTAGCCGTGACAAAAGCAAAGCTTTTCTCCGGGGAAGGATAAGCAGTTCCAAACCAGGCAGTCCACAGCCCCTGCAGAGTTTGTCCTGTTTTAATAGGAAGGTTCTGAATTGTTTGAAAAGCATTTATTAAGCACCCTAGATCTTTTCAGTATCTAGAAAAATTTCCTAGGCCTATGTGAGTAAAGTGTTCCACTGAGGAAGACTCCTATAATTTTTACCTTTAACTTTTTTTTTTAACAAAAGCATAGTCTTGATTTACATGTTGAAGGAACTAGGTATTTTTGAAATTTCTGGCATCTCTGTTCAGTTGAATTTTAAGGGAAGAAGCAGTACAAAGTTAGGATTCCTGAGTAATAATCCCTTTGAATTTGAAAAGTAAATTAAAAGACACCAATTGCACTCTTTCTTAAAGTCTGTAGTCTTTAGCCAGATCGTTCCCAAACGTTTCGGGGAATTAGGAAAAGGCACCAATGGAGTTTCAGGGTGCCATTCCATCTCTGTGTCTGCAAATGAGGAGGAAGGAAAGCGGTGGAGAACATTGACATAGCTGGTAAACTAGCACAGCGAGGCGCAGACTTTTGAAGTTTCTACAAAATAACATCACAAAACTGCAGAACCCCATTCCCTGCCAGAATGGGCCAGCATCAATAACGCACTAGCTAAGCGCATCTGAGGCAAAAAGGCAAAGGCTCCATAAGCCGCCTGCGGATGACAGGGACAGTCGGGGTTGGGGCAG